GCTTAGCCTGCCTCATCTCATGTTCCACCACATGATCACTTATAGTGATACAAACAACGCTGGGTATCTCCCTTATGGTTCACATATTACTAGGTATATTCGCTGTTTCGGAGCCGATCTGGATGACAAAGTCCAACTTGTCAACGTTCTGGACACTCTTCGAGCTCATCATGTCCTGCGATGGATAGATGATTCGATTGGTGTTCGCGAACCTCACAATGACCAAGGGGGAGTAGCTGCTCGAAAATCAAAAGACAAGGGAAAAAGGAAGCTGGGAGCTTGGATTAAGGGGGAGAGTTCAAAAGGAAAAAACATTCACCCAGAAAGTTCCACCCAGATTAACTCGCATCCAAAAACAGCAGGGAAGAGCATCAAGATCAGGGAAAGGACTGCAGAGAGTCCACCTCGGGGGCTTGAGGAACGAGAGGAGGAACCTGAAGAAGCTATGGGGGATAATTTCTTGGAAGAAGTTATCTCGGACTATGAGTTCGATCCTGAATATGATTTCTAATCTCCTGCGTTTGAGGGTTGGAGAGGGCACGCTTTCCTTTAGAAGTTTCTTTTGGGAATATTTTTTTGCTCGGTCTGAATTTTGAATATTTTTGAGTTTGGTTTAAGTGACTGATCATTGGTTGAACATAATTCTGAGTGTGTCTGATAATTTGTATGTGTCTGCTCATTTCTCTGTCGAGTGTACTTGTGTTTGATTTTGCAGAAAGTGGTCATTGCTAAGCTGAGGGGGAGATTGTTGGGAGCAACATCGCAATTAAACCCAGCAAAATCCACAAGATTGCCAACTGGGGATCAGACCCTGCCTCAAGGAAATTGACGACAAACATTAGCTGGAAGAAGATCTGCAGAATCCTTCTCAAACGGTCGACGATGCACATATGGAAAGTGATTAGCGAGCAAGGAAAGAAAGATTGCCTTGTCCCAACGGCTATGAAGTCAAGCCAAGTATATATAGAGATAGAAACCAGAAGAGGAGGCAGACTTTTCATAGTAATCGAATCGGACAAGCTGCAAGAGTGTGAGCGAAAGGGTTTGAGTGAAAAGTCAGCACAGGAACAGTGAGGGTTTCTGGGTACTGGTACAAGGGTGTATCAGGAGGGTTCTATTAGCAGGATTGCTGATAGGTTCAGAAACGTTTCGTCGATCGAGCAGTGTGCAGATCGAACGGAAGTGTGGTGTGTGTACTGTAAGTGAGCTTCAATATCAATTTCTTAGTGGATCGTCAGAAATCGCAAAAGCGATTCTCTGACCGTGGATTAGTCGGTGTTAGGTTCATTAACACCTAACACCGGATACCACGTAAAATTCCGGTGTGTTGCTTCTTTTCAGCTACTAGGTGGTCTGCCAAATTTGTTTTGCTGTACTCTGCTTTTGCTTCTGGGTTTAAGTTAAGTTGCAGGGGAGGTAGATCCGACTGGTGGGAGTGGAGAAGTTTGGCTTGACATTAGTGAAACGGTGAGGATTAAGTTACAGGTAAAGTGGGCTTATTACATTAGGATACATAGTTTGGGCTTTAGGGGTCGTTTGCTTCAAGGATTTGGTACATGGATTTGGTACCAAAAAACCAACTATCAAGGATTTAGATACAATCCGTTGTTTGCTTGCACCTTTTTTGGAGACCAAATCCGTGGGGCCCACGGATTTTAAGAGTCCAAATCCGTGGACCCCACGGACTTATAAATCCCACATGTTGATGTGGGATTTGGAATATGACATAGATCCTTAATGAGACTTTACTCATATACCCTCATGCACTTTTAATATTCCAAGGTTGCCCTCAAATTTAACTATTATATATTATAATTAACAATAAATGAATAATATAAACGTTCAATTAATGTGCAAAAATGAGTTAGATTTTTTATATCATTTCTTGTGTTCTAGTTTTCTTTGACCTTTTCATGGAACGTGTAATTCTTTGTTCTCCCGATTCTAATATATGTTGTTATATGTTACTTTTGAAAAGGAGGACAAAGAATTGGTAATTGATTATGTTACGTTAAAAGTTAAAACAGAATTTTCTCGTTTATTATTATTGTCCATGTGGCAACATTATGCTTATTAGTATGTATTGTCCTTGTTTTGTGTACATATCATAAACATGTCAAACATATAGAAAATGATAGTAAGGTAATTTTGAAGTTTTGTCCTTGTTTTGTGTACATATCATAAACATGTCAAACATATAGAAAAGGGCAGTAATGTAATTTTTGACTTCAAATAGTAAATCCCACACCTTTAAATCCATGATAAAAACATCCCAACAAACAAAGGATTGTTACAAATCCATGATGCCTCAAATCCTTGATAAATCCTTGGGTTTTTGAATTACAAAACACTCATTTTTAAATCCATGAAGCAAACGATCCCTTAGTTTTAACCCACGAAAGAACAGAAGTCCATTCTCCTTTGGCCTCACCACAAACACGAGAAGGGAAGGGGTTTTCATTTCTATTCGATCAAAACAGTTTCCTTTACAAAGTTCTTCACTTGTTCTGTGCAAAAGTTTCGAATAAGGTTTTTGCAGGAAACAGTTGAATCAAAGCAAAATCAACAAGGAAGAAGCCGGTGCATCTCGCGCTCGACGCCACCTACAAAACACACCTACTTAATTATATGCTAGATTTTATTTTTCCTCGAACTACAACCCTAGTTATGTAAAACTAGTTTTCGTTCTTGAGTAGCACATCGAGAAGATTTTAGAGAATAAACGACTTTGAAGAATTTAAGATATTCTGAATTATTTCTTTGATTATACATTAATTTAGTGGGTCAACCCAAATGGTGTCCTCCACCATTATGGTACACAAGAATTTGAGTTGGCCAATAGCTCAATACATTCCTTTAGTCCTTGATTTGGACATGAAGCGAGGAAAACTTGACTTGGGGAATAAGTATAATAGGTCCTACGTCATAGAAGATAGAACTAGACTTACACCATCATCTCGACTATAAACATTAAACAATGAGGCCGAAATGCTGTGTGCGATTTTGTGGACTGTGACCAAACTTTGTACTGGGATGGGATATTAGGCCCACTAGGCCGACTGTGGGCTTGTGGACCGGATTTATACGAATCAGCCCACTATTAATAGAACAAAAAAATTCCCGCCCGCAAGATAAAGCTTCCCGCGTGATCCTCCTCCGGAAAATTCTCAAGCAGCACGGAGAGGGCCGGCCAGTCCGATTAGTTCTGGGATTCAGTGACCATCAGGCCTCCGCCGACGATCGCAGCTTCCTTTACTCGGTTGGTTGCGACCCTGGACGGCGGCGCCTCCGTTACGGGTGAGTTCTCCTTCCTCCCGCTCTTCTGTTTTATTTTCTTTTGCTTTCCCGTTCGAAGCTCTGTGAATCCTGTGTGAATCAGATGCCGATTTCTTGTCTTGATTGTTGAGTTGATGAACCAGCCGCAGTGAAGATACGACTTGTCGGTTGCAGAAGTTCAACGTGATTTCTGGCCAGAGTTCAAGAAGGTGTAATTCGGTGTATGTCTAGAGACTCTAGACACGTCTAGGCATGTCTAGGGCTCGTCTAAGTCCTTAGCAGTAAATTAGGCATTCTTAACGACTAAGGAGAGCTAGGCACAATTAATCAGTGTGAGACACGCTTAATCAAAGTGACACATGCTTAGGCATGGCTAATTGAAGTGAGGCAGAGCTAAGAACGATTAATTGTCTTTTCAAATTGATGCTTTGTCGATTACGTGCCACACACAACCCACGACTTTTATAAACTTGTGATTCTAAGAAATCATGACATATGTTATTTATTGTTGAGCGTTAGTTAAGTTGTTAATCATTTGAAATTGAACTCAAGGAAAATGTGCTATAAAATTAGTATAACAGCTAAAATTTGATATTTTCACTAAAATGCCTAGCGTGCTAGAGTTGTAGACAGGGCCTCAACGCATGTCTAGTGCCTAGCGCCTTTTTGAACCATGCCATTAAGCAACCACCATCTGTTTTGTTTATTTGAGAGTAAGGCTGGTCGGTAATTGTGATTGGATTGTTTTAGTATGGTTTTTCGTCACCAATTTTGCAGAAAGAAGCCTCATTCATGGATCACGTTGGCATCGATGTGTAGATGGATTTGTCTTGTGTGTGTGATTGCGTTCAAGGATTGCTGATAGGTTTAAGGGCATTCAGTGTTTCGAATGCTTTGCAAGATGACAGCAGATAGGCCTCTAATCCCAGGTTGCAACTGCTCTTGAACTGAATGAGTATGTTATGGTGTGCTTTAAGGATAGAAACTCTTAGATCTTTTCATGTCAGTTGTAGTGTGATAGCAACCTGTTCGTTGGGTGGTATAGTGTCCTTTATGTTCTTCTTCTTTGGAACTTATAGATGTGTGAGGCAAGTTACTCTACAAAATTATAAAGGTTGGTTGGCTGGAGCCTGGTGCTGTTGTTGAAGGCATAAAGCCCAACAATTTCTGTGTGCTACTTTTGCTTTGCTAGGAAGTAGTTTGGTGTCTACCTCTTGAAATGTGCTATTTTCTGCTGTATGATCTATTTCAGGGATAGCGGGCTTCTTCCATCTTGTAATCTTGTGTAGTTACTGAATGTTGACATTGACTGTGGATTAGAAACTTCTTTAAACACCTTTCCAGATTTCTTGCAGTCCAAACAAATGCTTGTTGTGTTCTTCTGTTCTCCCTAATTCACTGGTCTTGAATAGGCAGTGGATTTCAGATTCCTTTGCTCAATCGTGCTGTTGTCTTGCTTGTAAGTAGATGAACCTGATCTCAACCTTTGGCATACAATTGAATTGGAATTGAACTAGAGTTTGTGTACACCATGGAAGTAGAAAGTTTGCAGTATCTTTATTCATCATAATCTAATGTGTGAATGGAACACTACCATACATGGATTCTCTTGTTCATATTGTGAAAAGCAAAGAAGCTTGTTCTTTGTTCTATGGTCAATATGGCTGTGAAGAACTGTTTCTACTTCACTATCTAGAAAAAAGGAAGTGGTCAAGTCAAGCTGGTGGCAACACTTTCTGATTCTCTGGCTTCTGCACAATTTCCCAAGCCGGTTGTGGAGGTCAGCAAAGATGCTCCAAAGGTCGGCCATATATGGTTGCAGGTAATTTTATATCAATATATATATTTAGGACTCTGAATTAGTTTATACTCTCTTTCTCTGTTGTTTCATGACGTTATCTGTCCCTTTCTTTTAATGCCAATTATCTAAGTTTGAAGATGTTTAGAGAATTATGTTTCTAGGAGTTGAAAGTATTACTAATTTTGCTCATTATTTGAATGAGACAAGACGGCCGACTATGGATATTGAAGTAGAAGTGCTAGTTTAGATTTACAAAATTGCTAAAAAGTATCAATCGTGTTTACATTTGAACAATTAACATGAGATCATGTAATGGAAACATTTTGAATTGTTTCATAACATCAAATCAATTCTATAACTATAATTTATCTGAATGTTGTTATCGTCCCATCAAATTTGCATGATGATACAATTATTTTTAGGAACATTTATTTTTCATACAGACATAGTTGTTATTGGAATGTTCAGAGAGTTGGAATACCAAAACGTTAATTTCAGGCTTACAAGGGGCAACCTGATAATTAGGCATAGTTAAGAGGGCAAATTGGAAAATTTAATAGGTATGGAGGAAGTCCAAAATGCTCACTTGAGGTCCAAAATTAAACTTAATACGAACATGTTTATCTATTCATAAATAACAAAAATAAGCACTTTAGGCTGTAAGAGACATTGGAGCTGGAAGAGGTTGATACTTTTACAGCTCCTCATGGTGAGATTTGATAAAGAAAGCCAAGCCAAGCCAAGCTGCAAGAAAGAAAGAAAGCGTGGAAGGAAAGCCCACTCAAAATGGAATAACGAAAGAACGCAACAAAAGGAGACGGCGTTCTGTCAGGTAATGCCCCCCTCCCTGTAAATGGCATCAGTACATTGGTCGGTTCTGAGCAAGGGACAGACAACCTCTCTCTGCCCTCCTTCCCGCCTGCGCCTGTCATATTATTATTATACGATAAATATATTACTTATACCATAGCCACAAGCTCTGCTCTCTACCATTTCTTGTTTCCATGGAGGAGGAATCCCCAAGGTAAAGTCCTAGACTATTTTGTTACTTCTCAGTGACTTTTGTTGTTGGTTTTGGTTGAAGCGTATATATTAGATGGGTGAGTGTCTCCTAACTGCCTTTTTCACTCCCTTACCATCTCTTTAACCAGTACCAGCCGACCCAAGGAGGATTCTGAAACCCCAGGAGCAGTAATGCCGAGCCGGCTCCAATTTGAATCCTCAGATCCTCATCCTGAGTTCGTGGAGCTCGATCCCACTGGCAGATATGGCAGAGTAACTACCCAAAATACCTAACCCAGTTCACCGATTTCCCTCTTCATTCAGTTTTTCTTAATCGTTTATGGCTTTTCCCTTCTTCTGTGTGTGTGTGTTGCAGTATAATGAGATTCTGGGGAAAGGAGCGTCCAAGACAGTGTAAATGAACCGTTTGGAAGCTCTGCCTACTTTCTACCCTTTTAATGTCTCATGGTTCTTAAGTTTCGCTCATACTCCTTTTGCAGTTACAAGGCGTTTGATGAGTATCAAGGAATAGAAGTGGCGTGGAATCAGGTAAAGCTGCTGGACTCTGTGCAGAGCCCAGGGGAATTAGAGCGGCTCTACTGTGAAATCCACCTGCTCAAGACACTGAAACATGAAAACATCATGAAGTTCTACTGTTCTTGGGTAGATGTCCCCAGCAGGAACATTAATTTCGTCACCGAGATGTTCACCTCCGGCACTCTTAGACAGTAAGCAGCGTGTTTTCTTTTTGCCCAACTGTTTTTTTTTTTTAAATTCTCTTCTTTCTTATGTTTTAGTTGTTTGCCAATTTAGTATCCCAAAATTGCTTCTTGCTGGGTTATTTCAGGTATAGGCTAAAACACAGGAAGGTGAATATTAGAGCTGTGAAGCATTGGTGTAGGCAAATTTTGAAAGGGCTTCTTTATCTCCACAGCCATGACCCTCCAATTATCCACAGAGATCTCAAATGTGATAACATATTCATTAATGGCAATCAAGGAGAGGTTAAGATTGGTGATCTTGGCCTAGCTGCAATCCTCAGGAAATCATATGCGGCACCTTGTGTTGGTAAGTGAACACTAAACAACCCCTGAGATATTTGATCCATCTTATGGCTTTTCTGAAGTGTAAAGCTGGGGTTTTCCTTCAGGAACTCCGGAGTTCATGGCTCCAGAGGTTTATGAAGAGGAATACAATGAACTAGTGGACATATATTCATTTGGGATGTGTGTGTTGGAGATGGTTACATTTGAGTATCCATACAGTGAATGCACCCACGCTGCTCAGATTTACAAGAGAGTTGCGGCGGTATGGAAGAAACAAAAAATTCACTCTCATTCATACGCTTTGCGATTGTTTCTCCAAGAATTTTCTGTATGGGTAATAATCTTTTTGTATGTCCTTATTCAATAGGGTAAAAAGCCAGATGCTTTATACAAACTGGAAGATTTAGAGCTGAGACAGTTTGTTGAGAAATGTCTGGCCACTGTTTCCAGTAGACTCTCTGCTAGAGAGCTTTTGATGGACCCTTTCCTCCAGATTGATGATTACGGGAGCTTCAATGGTGGAAGCCCTTTGGTTGGACGGCCTTTATCATTTGATCATACTGGCCATTACCTTGGTTATGATCTTGAGTACCCTCCTCCTGTTGATTGCGACAGTGAAATTGATCTGTATGTTTGTGAAGAGGACAAGCATTTCACAGATGTTGAGATTGCAATTCATGGTAGGAATGGAGATGATGATGGCATCTTTTTGAGGCTCAGAGTTTCAGACGTAGAAGGTTGGCTGGTTCTGAGTTTAGACATTTTGTCATGAACAAAATGATAGTGTGTGACTGAGATTCACTGTTATATCTATGCAGGCCGCATTAGGAACATCTATTTCCCGTTCGATGTTGAGAATGACACTGCCATGAGTGTCGTTAGTGAAATGGTTTCCGAGCTTGCCATTTCTGATAAAGATGCAATCAAGATAGCTGACATGATTGATGATGAGATTGCCTCCTTGGTCCCACAATGGAAGAAGGATTCGGTGATAGATATGGCAACTGCTGTAGATGGTTGTTCAAACGATAAAGAGCAGGTGGATCGTTTGTCAACCGATGGTTTAGATGCCAAGAATGTGGCTCCTTATCATCGCAGGGGTGCATCGACCAACGGTCAGTTCGAGGAGGTGACATATCAAGTAGAAGGATCAGAGACAGATGGACAACAAAAGGCAACAAGTCATGGAGATGATGAAGAAGAAGCACTTTGCAATGCAAGAAACTCTGTCTCTTCCACCAACCCTTCGATGTCGAATGCATACTGGGAGGACTACGAAAACGAGATCAAGCAAGAGCTGAGGTGGCTTAAGGCGAAGTTCGAGATGCAGTTGAGGGAAGTTAGAGACAAGCAGCTAGGACTCCATCCTGGAACCCCTCTACAGTCTAGTACCTCGGAAGGCAATGAAGATGGTGGAGGAGTTGTTTCTTCTTCTCTGATTTTACCTAGGCTGACAAGAGAAAACGGGAATCAGTCCATTCCAATCCATAAGGAGAATGGAGGAGTTCCATCAGCGAATTTTCGAGCAGGTAGAAGCCGGAGGGAGCTGTGTAGGTCTGGTAGCTTCAAGAGATTGGAGAGGACGAGTACAACTCTATACAGAGCAAAATTGCTCCCAAAATCCCTTCATAGAGCAGCTTCCCTTCCGGTAGATGCTGTAGAAGTTTAACACTTACATACCCTTTTTTGCTGTAAATTGTGAGTCTGTATGATGAAGCGGGAAAGGATGTTTAACGCACAAACAAAGTGAGCTTACCAATGTACATTTTTTTGCCACACCAATCACACATCAGAAAGAATTAAACTCCAGGTTTTAGTTCATCTGTTGCTCCTACTACCCTGCTTGAGTGATGACTGAATATTTAGGGGATTTATTAGTTATGAAACAAAAATCAACATCCCAGATCAGATTGTGAATCCATCCGATCGCAGCAAATGCAGTCCAAAACATCGATTCAGTTCGATTCGATCTGGCATGGACGAAATCCTAGGGTTACTAGACATCAGTGCTGCTGTTGGCTATTCACATAGAATATGCTGCATTGTCAAAGCATAGATAAATTCTACTTTCCAACTGAAAAGAAAAAGAGACAACTCTCAAGAGCCAACCAGAAAAGCTGGTATCTGTCTCTTCCAGAAGTTCTTTGCCCACTTCTTTATCTTTTCTAAATTTCAACGTTTGATACTCCTGGCTTGCTAACTGGCTGGCTGCCTATATCTCCATAAACAGCCATTGCTTTACGCTTTATCCTTTCCCATCATGGAATGCTTATGAGTTACGAGAGACGAGGGAGATGCTCTGCAAAGCAAGGGGGGAGAAAAGCTGCCCAAACACGTAGACAGATTCCTCCATAGGCTTTCTTTTTATCATTTCTTTGTTAAAAAACGACTCTGTTCTGCGTTTTATCTCCAAAAAGCTAGCTAGCTAGGGTGGCTCATCATTAGGTAAGGTAGGTAGGTGGTGCCGTGTCCAAGTTACCAACATGATTTTGCAAAGTTTATAATTTGTTCATTAATTCAGAGAATTTTGCTATGGTGCTGATTGTATGTATGGTATGGGTTCACGGGAGGATGGTTGTATAGCTAATGAGTCCAGTCAAGTTGAATTTTGTCTTTTTGGGATTTGGTTTGTTTGTCAAAGAGTTCAATAGAGTCGAGGTTGAGCCATCTTATTTAATAAGATTTTGGATTATTATCCAGATTACGAGTTCGGCTCGAACTCAACTCATTAATTCTATATAGTCGTATGATTAAACTAAATTTTAGGATCATGTTTAGATTAAATACCCTAATATTTGTGTCTAATGTATGATACATGTAACTAACTCACTGATCTCGTATTTATATACTCTGTTGGATCATATTATTTAGTTCACAATTTTTAAATACTTTATATAATGTAATTTCATAGTAATTAGAATATTGATATTTTTTAGGGTAATGTCTATTTATCCAAACCTTTTTTAGATTTTTTTATATTATCCAAACCTTTTTCAGATTTATTAGGATAATTTTATAATGTTGTTTGACGGAATGCACCTCTGACTGCTGAAATCAAGACGACAGTCAAATATCCACCGGCGGTGTTGATTTGATCGATGTACCTCTTAATTCTAATCAAGAACGATCATTACTCGGTTCACACCTCTCAAAACAATGTTCGAACGAGAGTGTTTGAGTTTTTTGGGAATCTACGTTAAAACTACTCATATGGAGATTCTTGTGGAGAGCTCCGACGACTACTGCTACGACTATGGAGATCCTTCATGGAAGGAGAGCTCCGCGAAAGAGTTACAGAGAAAAAGGAAGTTTTTAGAGAGTTTTTCTGTGTTATTTTGTTGGTCCCTTTCTCTCTCCTTGCTCCATTGATTTTATCTAAAATCATTTTCGTAGTCTTCACGTAACTTCTCTGTGGAACCACCTCGTAACCACCTTAATCTTATCTCCAGTCCGCTTGGCGTAAATCTCACGTGAAATAAAAGTGTCTTCATTGTGAAGTTGTTGTCTTCAACGACTCTGCTTCCCTCTTTACTCGTGAATCACAATGTTATCAAAACGATGTCGTTCTCTCACGACAACATGGTTGAAATACCCTTGTGGCCAAACCATTAACTTGGTGGCCAAGTGACCTCGCGACGTTGTTCACGGCTCCACCAACAAAGTTTCCACAACGACGTCGTTGAACCCAATCACGACATTGGTCAGCTTGCCGCCAACCTCGTGGCATCGTGAACTCGCAATGTCGTTTATCTCACAATACTGATATAGCTTACCCACGACATCGTCGAACTTGCAACGTTGTTGAGTTTCGCGATGTTATTTTGGTCTAAACAACATCGCAAACAAATTTTCCTCAACGCCACTTGTTAACATCGCTCAAATCCACAACCTAGCTCGCAGCGTCGTTTAGCTCTACGACATTGTTAAACAAACAGCGTCGCTACACTTGCGGCATCGCGGCGAACAGCTTCGTTCCACTAGCGATGACGCTTATCGTCTCAACCTTGCAATGCCATGAGATATGGTGGAACCAAGCTCGTAAATCCTACCAAACTCGCATCCTTGTTTTGAATTAAACACCGTCTCTTCTTGATGGATCAGTTGGTTTTGCGACTTTGTTAACTTTCTGCGCCAATGATCTCACGACATTGTCGGGATCTGCGACATTGTGTTGGAGTTCTTTTGTTCCCTTTAGTTGTGCCTGTGTACCTGACTGGTCCTCTCTCCAGTCCGCTTCGCGCAGACTGGTCCCCTTCCAGACAATGTAGTCCGTGCACACCGGTAACATCGCTCCCCTTATCTTTCCTTCTTCTCCATTGAGGGCAATGTCGATCTTAAGTGTGGGGGGGGGGGGGGGGTGTTTATCTTTTGACTGCATTAGATCTGTTTGTGTGCTTGGAGCCTAGTCCACTGTCCAAATTTTTCAAATTTGAGGGCTCCAAGTACGTGTTCCTTGCAATTGCCTGCTCAGTATGCTTTGAATTGACAGTCTCTGTAGTAATGTGCAACCTAGGGAGGTAGTGTAGCACTATGGAGGATGTTGATGCATTTAAGAAGTCTCATTTCTTCTTCATATTGTGTTGGTTGATTGAGTGAATTAGTGATCTTAGGACCCTTGAATTGTGTGGTGTTGTGGACTTTCTACCTGTCATGGACTCTTGTATCATGCTTTGAAAATAACAGGTGCTCGAAAATGTGCTTTAAAATGACGTCTCCCGTGCGAATAGGGCGAAAGTGTGTAAGGGGAGACGGGAATCCGTTCCCAATTTCCACCTACTACCTCCAGCCCCCTTACATATCTTTCCCCCGCACGAGGCTCGAGACATCCGCTCCTGGCATGGCCGGTAAGAGCTGGGCTCCCGCAAAACCTTTGCTAGGTGGGAGCCCCGTTTTTCGAAAAACAGGTTGGAACCCTTTAAAAAAAACAAATAGAAAAACAAGCAAAAAGAAGAAAGAAAAGGGGTTCCAACCATCTTCAAGAAGAAAATCGAGCACCTTGAAAAAAAATGTGAGTCCATGATCTTTTGTTTTTGAGAGTCTCTTCATCCACGATTCATTTGTCCTCTGTTCACTATTTGCCATGATGCCGACTCGAGACTAGTGCTCTCGCCGAAGAAGCTATGAGATGACTTCTGCGTCGGTTGACCTCGTAAGCTGCTAAATGATCTAGGAAGTCCTCTACCTACGATCGGGGTTGTTTGTTGCTATAGAGGTCTGGAGAGTTGCATTGGTTTGAGTTAGGTTTGCTTGGGGACAAGCAAACGGTTAAGTGTGGGGGAGTTTGATAGACCGATAATTACACATGTTTTCACCCCTTTTCTGAAGCCATTTGAGATGTGGATTCTCGTGTTTTAAGCCGATTTCACGCTAGGTTGTGTGTTTATGTCATATTTCAGGACCCGGCGCGGAGAAATGAGTTCTGGGTCGAAAGGTGCAAAGTTGGAACGAAGTGGGCTGCTGGAGGAAAATACCCGGCCATGGCCAAGAAAAACCGGCCGGGTATTATCCTTTTGGGCGCCCCGTGAGAATCAGAGAGGGGCCCGGGCGTGAAGGTAAAATCCCCGGTCGGGGATTATTGAGGCAGACCGGGGATTTTCCCTCTACTGAAACGCGCGTTTTGAATAATACCCGGTCGATACTCAAAATACCCGACCGGGTATTTCGACCGGGTATCGCGATAGGCAGCCAATTTAAAGGAGAAGAAGGCCAACATTCAAAGGTTCCGAGTTTTAGAGAGACAGAGCGATTCCTAGAGAGAGAAAGCGATGAACCAGAGTTCCCAAGTGCCATAGCTTGATCTTCATCACCATTGGAGCCCGGCTTGAGCTTGGAGAAGTGCCGATTAACGTCCAGGAGCAGAAATCCATCTTCACAGTATGATTTCCGCGTCTGAATCTGCTTTTGCTTCTTTCTCTATGGAGTAGTTTCCCCATTCATCTGGGTATGGAGAACCCTAGATTTGTATGCTAGGTCTGATTGTATGAACCCAAGTACAGAGTTTATGAATTGATTATATTCGATTGAGGTTTGAATGATTGAATGACTTGAATCCTGATCAAATTCATGTTGTTTCTGCTTTGACCTAGAATGAGAATATCTGCCTAGGTTGATAGAGTATCCTTAATTGAAGGTAGTGAATTGATGACTTTAGTCGAGGAGCCAATTCGCTATTCTGTACCGAATTCAATTCGGTAGTGGAGGTTTGGTTCGTTAGTGCCTCAATCTGTTTACTCCGGTGGAGGTTAGTCGATTATGGACACAAAAAATTATTCAACTCCCTGTGGTAATTATTTACGTATGGACACAAAAAATTATAATTGATAGTGAGGGACACCGTTTAAACTTGGAAAAAATGATTATCTTACTCTCATATTTTATTTTTTCCTATGGGAATATAAGTGGTAGTTTGGATAATTCAAACCTACGACACTATTATTATTGATAAAGATAATTCTCATTAGACTACAACTCAATTGTTGTTCGATTTTAAACACTGTGTAATAGTAACATGTCATTCCCTATCTCTAATTATTATCAAAACCTAACAATTAACTAATTTCAAGCTACCCTTAATTTGTATTGATTTTGTGGTTGTACGACAAGTGTTCAAAGAGTCTTTTCAGCTTTGTCTTACATAAAAATAAGTTTATAAATCAAATATACAATCAGTTTGTGAATGATTGTCTAGTAGGATATACAAAGGCAATTTTTTTTAGCAGTGTAGACACCAAATGTATTCTACAATTATTTCCGAATATGAAAACACATTGTGAAATGTTTTTAACTTGTACGAGTCACGTATTATCTTATTATAGAATTATTTTAATTTTAATTAATTAATTAATTTATTTATTTATTTTTAGAAGAT